GGGTGTCATTTCATGTCGTCGACAAACGTATGTTTCTACTTGAGGTGTCAAGGCCATGCCATCAAGCAAATCACAATCAGTCATTGCTTTGCAAGAGCGAGATTCGATAGCCTTTACTGGGATTGCAAGTTGAAATAACGAATTTTCGTCTTGGCACGTCATAAAAAGCTCATCCTGTACGGTAGGCACGTGATGACTGGCTGCTGGATCAGGGATCGTCATTGGCACTTTCAAGATAGGAATGAATAGAAAGCTTGCTTGGCCATAAGTTAATCCTAGCTTGGTAGTTGATCATAAAAAGGAACTTGATCATTTTGACTTACCTATCTACTAGTATCTGATAGCCATCCAATAAACAGAAAAGTTCTTTGCTTCTAGCTAGCTACTTTGTCAAGCTAGCTATAACCACACACTATTAATAGTAGACTACGGTACAGTTCAGTGCAGCAGGCATCATGAGCCCACCAAGACAAGATGACGACTTGAACAAGAACAAAGATGAAGAAAGTTTGCTAAAAGGCGAGGATTCTACAAGAGCAAAGAATGCTGGAACAGCTGGAACTGCTGCCAGTGAGAAAAGTGCCTTGTTGTCTCCCGAGTACATGTACAGTCCTTCGCCCAATTCTACCGACAGACCCAGTTTGACCAATTTGACGGAATACGGAGCTCTAATGGCGGATAGAGAAGAGGGAGAAGCTCCTCTCATTCAAATGCAAGTCAACGCAAACAACCATAACTTGCCAGCAGCAAACAACAGCACAAGCAATAATAATAATATTGCAAACAGCTTGGAGATGACGAATGGCCGCAAATTTCAAAGAAAAAATGCAAGAACGAACTGGTCTGGATTCTTTTGCTTTTGGTGGCACTCTTTCTAGCCATCACCACTGGACTCTCCTGTGGGGTACTGGTAGTGATGCCAAAAAAGAAAGCCACGATCCCCATTCCGACAGCAGCAGCAGCGGCTCTTCTTCCGCCACTGACAATAATTTCGCCCGTCCGTTTTCCCTAAATCACCCCGTCCATGACTTGAATCTGCGTACAGTGCAACGTCCCGAATGGTCGGCTCCCAACCGAGAACTCTTTGCGGATATTCAAGGTCCTCTACCGACCAACTCGTGGTACCAAAATCTGCTCCTCGCGACGAGACACGAACCCACAGAGGAGCAACGAGCTTATCCCATGCCATACGTCGTCGACACGGTGGGACCCATTCCAGGATTACGAGTCCATCATACCAGCATGGTGGCATCCGATTTGGTGTTGCAGCTTACAAATATTCCCAGCCATGGGCTCACATTGGGAGCGGCATCGCAGTCCATGTTGCTCTCCTCCAGCGCCACTGCTTCCAAAAAGTACAAAGTCACGCACATGACGCCTCTCGGGGTCACATTGCAATGGGTGAGTTTCGTTATTTCATACAAACTAGTGTTCGTTTGATTTTCGTTTACAATTCGATTCTCACCATTTTGTTTTTTTATTTTATTTTTCCAACCCATGCATATTATATAGCCCAACAATCAGACCACGTCGTCGTTGACACACTCCACATCCATTGTCAAAGGAATGCCGTATGCAACCATGGCATATTCCATCCAAAATGACAGGAAACTTTACCCCACGGAAGCCAGATTGCGAGAACAAGCAGCTTCAGACCACGATCAAGACATGCCCACCATCGTTTCGGAGGTACCCATCTCGTCACCACCATTGTTAGATGGACAAACCAATCTAGACTGCAAGAACGTGCAATTGGTTCAAAAAGAAATGCAACTGCAGTTTCAAGGTTCCGATTATACTTGGCTCGTTTTTGTTTCCCGCCCCGTAATGGTCCGTTGCATGGAAACATCCAGTCTTCCTGGAACTTCCTTTGCCGTGCAGTTCCTATTGGACAATGATGATGATGATGATGATGATGACAGTCGTCCGACTTGATTGTTCGAATGGCCATGGGCAATGCCTGTACTACCAATCCCGGAACTTGTGGTGCACAAACGCGACGAAAGGATCCCGAGTCGTACATGCGCCTCCTGAGGAAACATGCCAACTATTACCCTGGCCCAACACGGCTGTAGGCTTTGAGTTTGAAACGGACAATGACGAATTCAACAGCATCCAATTTGATTGGAACGTGCAGAAAATGAGGCGCGATGACCACGAGACTGAAAAGAATGCAACCAGCTTGCTCATGTTTGCTCTGCTTCATCATCAGGATATGTTCGCGGCAAGCCAGAAAGCTGGCAACAAGAACCCCCAGCTGCCGTCATACCCCCACGGAAAAGGGGGACCAAAGTCTTGTGCTACTACGCTTTTGGGACCTGCTTGTTTGGTGGAGGGATCCACATGGATGCTACAGGAGAAGCGTCAACGGGCGAGCTTTCGGGCGCCGCGTCCTCCACGCAACGAAGACTTGGCAGTCTTGGTCGACGCCTTTCGAAGTGATCTAAACTATAGTCTACCGCTATATTTCCAACGCGGTGCAGGAGACACGGTGAGTGATGATTTTGGTTTGTTGTTGCTCGGCGGAAAACGACACTGAATGCGTGCATGCCTAACAACTTTTCATTTGCTCCTTCTCTTGTTCTTTGTCGTTCCGCGTACGCTTCAGTACTTTTCCGGGAAGATGCTGGCCAAGCTGGGTCGTATTCTGACCATTGGTGAAGAACTTCATGAGATTTGTGCATCCCACGATAGCCCCAAAGAGTGCAAGGGTTTGGACGTGCCATCGCCAGAGCAGCCCGAATTTCAGCAAGCGTTGGCCAGACTTCGAAGCTCTGTAGAGGTTTGGATCAACGGAACAGCAGATACACCCTTCGTTTACGATGGCTTGGCTACGGGTGGTTGGGGAGGCGTTGCCAGTTGTGGTTGTGACTTTGACGAGTCGCAACAGCAGTGTCGCAACCAGTATCCCGATTGCCCTGGATTCTTCAACCCCGGCCTGAACTTTGGAATGGGTAAGTCGATTGAATCCATCATTCGCTGTTTGGTTCCCATGTCCAGAAGGATGCCTATTCTGAATGCATGTAACTCGACTCGTTTGTTTTCCTGGCAGCATTCTACAATGATCATCACTTTCACTTGGGGTATCATATTTATTCAGCTGCTGTTGTTGCTCACTTTGATCCTCAGTGGGGGCGGGATCACTTTGAACAGTCTTGTTGCTGGTGCGTGACATTGCCAACCCTTCGCGCGACGACAAATCGTTTCCATTGTTCCGAAACAAAGATTGGTTTCAAGGTAATTCCTGGGCCAGTGGCATTGCCGTGTCTCCCTTGAATGGAAGGAACCAAGAATCTTCGTCGGAGGCTATTGCGTCGTACGAAGGTGTCGCTCTCTATGAGCAGGAAATGGTAGGTGTTCAGGTCGTCTGCAACATTCAAGAATCCTAGGTGCATCGTGTCTTACCAGCAAGAATCTCTGTGCATGTTTAGGCCAAAGCGTGGGAAGGTTACGACCAAGACAAGGTTGCAACAGCCAAACAAATTGGCCGGTATGGTGAGGTCTTGTCCGCTAGTGAGGTCCGATCGGCGGATCGATATTATCACATCATTGAATCCAGCAGGGAGCAACAGTTCCCCATTCAATACACACCCCTTGTTATCGGCATAATGTGGAATACCATGGCGCAGTTTCAGACTTGGTTTGGAGGTGCCGCCTACTTGGCGTATGGCATTCAGCTGCTGCCACTGACGGTTGCTGCAGAAGGACGTGATTCTCTCGAATGGTCCCAGGAACTGTACCAACCATTTGCAGACAGTTGCACTGCCCATCTCGCTCCATGCCGCGATGGCGGCTGGTCGGTGCTAGTCTTGGCAATTTTGGCAACTGTGGGGCAACAGGACGAAGCAATTCAGAAGACCTTGGAGCTTCCGTCCAGTGTATTTACGTCGGCAGGCGGCAACGGCCATTCTTTGACAAATACACTTTGGTACTTGTCGACTCGTCCAAAGGTGGATGATCCACTGGTCGTTGTCGACCAAAACAACGACGACGGAATCAAACAAACTGCCGACCTCGAGAAGAACATGCACCCCCAAGGCGACGAAAATGACGTGAATGAGCATCAGGGACCAGTTGTTGTCGATCTAAACTTCAACTGCAGCTGCCCCGAATCTTGTACCGAGAGGGCCTTGAACCATTTTGCCAATGGGCACAGCTGCGGCTCTCGGATACTTTGGCTCATGAACGAGAAAGATCATAATGAATATGATGCATGTCACCAGGTTGGTGTGGAATTCTCTGGGGATTGTGGCGCCTGTGATCCAACCCAGTGCAGCTCCAAGGAGACAGCTGCGTCGAAATCATGCCCTCCGTGCTCTACTGAGATCTGCGGAGACAGCAAGCTCAACCAGTGCCCCTTGCAGAGTGCACCTTTTTTGTGCACGGAAGGCGCGAGCAAAGGCGGTTGTTCGCCTTCACCGTGGGTCCTGCACGACGATGGCATCTGCGAGAGCTGCTGCGAGCTGTCTCCCGCGTGCTAGGTAACGGGCTCGTCAGGTCGTCATTGCATCATAAACGAAGTTGCCATGGCACGGCACTCAAATCCAACTTCAAAAAAAAAATCTCATTCGAGAAGTCCAGAAAAGGCGAAGCTCGGGTGGTCACTTTAACAATGTTCCAGCTATAGTCAGTTGCTAAGAACAGATAGATTGATACATAATTACTTTATTAATAGAAAGTTGAATCAGCGCACAGCCGGCGCCCATACTAAGCAACAGAATGGCTCCTCTACTCGTTCGAAACTGCGCAGCCACTTCCCTGAGTCGGCCCTGCAACCTTCCAGCCAGCCTTCTAATTCTATTTTTCAATGATGGTGACAGCTACTGAGTAGAGGACTTGAAAGACTGCATTTGAAGAGTCCCATCATGCAACGTGCCACCAAAACATTTCTCAGTTCCACTTTTCCATTTTCAGCGGCTCCATGAATAAGCTTCTCTCTTCAAACTTCAAAACCGCTTTGAACCACATACAGTACCTACCGTTGTTACAAGCTTTGGAGCTCCTTGAAAGCTTGAAAGTGCCACTGAAACATTTCCTTCGCTCACTATTTTGTACGACTGTAGACTATCAAGCTCGAAGCGAGTGACAGTGCGATACATGTGCATGTACCTAGTAGTACTCTTTTCTCTTTTCACTGGTGACCAGGCGACTACTTACTTGTTGAAACCACGTACGACATATGTCTCTTAAAGCTTCAGATGCCTTGACATAATTCTGCTTTTGATTAGGAGTTATGATTATCGTGAAGTGCTCTTTTGTTAGTGTCCACAGTCGCACTTTTTGATGTCCGGTCATGTGTCATGCGGGAGCTCGTGTGAATAGAGCAATCAAATTAGATTTGCAAAAATGATACTATTGAATTTAACTTAATCAATGGATTCGTGGTTATGTAAAAGTCAAGGAGGTGTGGAGTGGGGAGCTACTGGTTGAAGATTGGAGATGTACTGTGAGTGGAGTTCAAAATTGGCAGCGACAGGCACTTCAAAGCATGCTTTCAAAGAGATCGACCTCTCCGACTTCAAGGCTGAGCAAATCAAAAGGATCTTGCGGTTCAGCAGGCTGGAACACCAAGTCGTTGCAGTTGGTGTCTCCTCCGAGACAGTTGGCAGGTCCAGCGTTGAAGTTGGCAAAGGCGCTCTGTGGGCTCTGTTGGATGGAAGTGTTCAAGTTCATGCTGTTGAAGGTGTAGCCGTGACGGTTCATGTTGTTGTTGCCGTTGCCAAGTACAGGCAAGGCCATCACTTCAGCGACTCGAAGGCGATTGATGAGGGTTTGGAGTGTAGTGTTTCCCTCGGAGATTGACAATGGTTTGAACTGCTGCTGCTGTGGCATGAGAAGACCCTCAGGGCAGCTTCTCTTTTCCGCAGGCTTGGTGGGCTCTACAGAGGGAGCTGGCTCTCTCTGTTCTCCTTCATCTTCCGAAGACGAAGCATCAGAAGATTCTTCCGTGGATTCAGGAGCCTCGACCCTGGTTTCCCTTGCCGCCCGAGCCAATCGCTTCTGCTTCCGAGTCTCACGCTTAATATCCTTGCTGGACTTGTACTTGCTTTGGATGCAGTCACGAAGAGCCTGGGAGGTCTTTTCACGGCCAATGTTGTCTTCGGCGCGGACATACCTTCGAAGCTTGGAGTCATAACGGATAAATCCTCCCACGGATTCCACTTCATTCACAATGGTTTGGACAATGGCCGACTTTTCTTGCTTGGTCTTGGCAAACGAGTACTCTTGAATGTGACGAGAAACAATCTCCTTGGCAAAGTGCTTGTTTCCATAGTGGCCATAGGAACGCTTTCCTCTGCCACAGACCACAAAGTTGATGCCTGGGCAGAAGTCGTCAGGGAACACAATCTTGTTGGAGACGGGATCGAGGTAGGTTCCTTCTTCATCGCAGAAGCCTGTTCCTGTACGTGGGGAAGGAGGGTTGCAGTTGCTGTAGCCGTTGCCGTTGCTGTTGTAGGTGTAGTATGGCATGTTGGCAGTTGCATCAGAGATCATTCCAAGATTGTAAGTCATGTGAGCTTGGTTCATCATTTCTTTGTGTGTGTGTTACGGATGCTTGGATCTCGTGAGAATTGGATGATGGTATGATGGTGGGTTAGTTAGTGCAAGGTTGTGGATCTCTTTGGAAATTGCCGAGTCAAATTTGTGAGAATGCAATTGGGCCAAGAAGACTCCAAGATTTGCTTTCGAGTAGAAACCAGAAAACCAGGCTATGGATTACTTCTGCGACAGATTGATTTGGTGGTTACGCGAGCTTCACGTGAAAAGTCCCAAAGCAGGACAACCTCCAAAGAGTTTACAGCATGACCACACTGGTCGTACTGATTTATTTGGTCCGGTACCAGACTGGTACCTCGATGCACCGACCGGTGTGCTAGCCAGATGCAGTAGCTATGCAGTCAACCTCTGAGACTCTCTGAGCCACCATTTATTTAACGCAAACAGAACCAAAAAGAGATGCCTTCTGATGAGGATGTTCCACTGAATCCTTTTGAGTCCGCTGAATTGAATCTTCTGGAATCTACCAACATCCTCGTACTGCACGTACGCACACACTGCAACTGGCTTTTAACTCGGTAGTCTACTTGAGTTGTACCGGTTCAGAGTTTTAAGTAAGTGTGGAAAGCTTGCCCCAATGGATCCCTACTCCCTACTCCCTACCGGTACCCCCTCAAAGGGAAGGAAGAACCCTGGCTCCCGAAGAAATTAGGAAATAGTATTTCCTACTGAGCACTATTTATAGATCTAGATTTATCAGAAACCTATTTAATCAAAGATCTTGCAGTGAATCAGCGTTGATAAGCACTGGAGTACTGCTGCAATTAATTTCTATTGGATAGCTATTTTAAAGTATTTAATATCTGATCCGTACCACTCCCCACACATCTTTCCATTCCTCGACGGTTCGCCAACTCATTTTCTGAGGGTTCCACCAAAACAAAACAATTTTGTCCCAAAATGCTTTTCTTGTCGCTTGTCTTTGGCCTTCGACACTTCAACGCTTCAACAGCGCTCATTCAACCACAAGAACACAAAACTCTCTCTTTTGCCAGGGTAGCTGGCATCTAGGCGAGGAGAGAGGAGGGGAGTTTGAGGCAACCGGACTCGGGTTGATGCGTCGGGATCTACAAAGCAGGTCATACACGATCCTCCTCTCTTTCTCCAACGAGAGACAAGAGCTATTTATTCCATTTTGCTTGCGGTTATTGGCAGATGTCGCTCGCCTGATCTATCTTGTCAAAGAACGGGAGACGTAGCTTCTAACAGCATCTTCTCTCTTTCGGACCACCGCAAGCCATACCGGTGGGCGAGTCTTAAATCCTCTCTTTACGGAGGACACAATAGTAGTTTGCCAGATCCATCCACAGCCAGTACACTGTAGCAGCAGTCCGCTTTGTCAATGATCCCTTGGGACTGATGAGGATTGAAGTTGGAACCAAAACCTGAGTTGGTCCTCAGCCACAAAGTAGCCACTTCAGTGCTGGGTAATTTACTCAGTATCATTACAATCGCGCACTACTGCTTCAGTAATTTCTCCCCATCCGGATTCGCTTCAAGCAGCCACTTCTCTACTCTTACAGTACATCATGGAAGTCCTTGAACTTGATTTCTCTAGAGTCCTGACGCAAGATTGGTTTGTCCCATACAAAAAGCCCCGATCCATTGCAGTCGTCTCTTCTCCTGCCTTGCACCATAATATTATTTGCACGAGTCCTAAATCACTGGACGAAAAAGTTGCACGATCATATGCTTTCGTTTCATCTTCCGACATGTCTATTCTAAAGCAGCCGACTCTTCCGAGGCTGCCAAGAAACCAGAGGACCCCTTCAGGATCGAAGACTCTGGTGGGTCACCATGCAGTCAGGATCCACTGGGTAACTATCGGACCTGTCAAAGACTTGGGCCGTGAATGTTCGTCTGGGAGGAAAGCACCATTCCATGCTCTACCAGCCCGCGGCGTTTCGTGTAGAAATCGGCACTGGTGGTGGCTGTTGGAAGCAACCACACAGCAGAGCAAACAGAAGCATGTAACTGGGATTCTGTACTCATGGCTACTGACACTACTTACCACCTGGAGTGTCTACTTTGCTTTGCACCGTGGTCATAATGCATGCTGAACTGAACTGAACAGGCAAGATTGCTTCGAAAGACTGAATTGTCCAGAGGGACACAAGAGAGGACGCACGGGGAAGTTTATTTCGGCTGGAGGTGCGAGAAACCTGAGCACAGCTTCAGACTAGGGCTTGCTTCTTCAACAGAAAAGTGCCGACCCGTTGGAGTCGAGTCATCATCGCTCCGCCTGAGCCGCTACTGCAATGACTATTCAAGAAACCGAACTTGACTGGCTGGTTCTGTGAGCCTCCGTTTGTGGTTGACATGATTGCCAGTTGCCAGCACGATACATCGCTTCCAACGAGCAACCAATCATTATGACCCGCCTGCGTCGAGTCGAGTCCAGTCAGCAGTTGGCAACGAGAAATTTCTTGGCCCCAGATCCTCTACTAAGAAATCCAGCGAACGGCGAGCTGCCTGATCAATAGAAGGATACATCCGCGAGCGAAGGACACGCCAGTGCCGAATCCCTCAGTGGAAGCAAGAGGGTCGAAACTGCAAGAGGTTATCGGTGGTCATTTAATTTTCGATCTCCTACGTCCTGAACCGACGAGCGAGTTGACAGAATAAACGGGGGGTTTAGAGTAGGTGGATTGTTCGATTTTAAATAGTAGTGCGAACAATGGTCGACGGAACAACAAAGCAGTCATCTCGCAAATGCACGAAAACTCTCTGAATGGTTGGAGCATGGAAACCATTGGCTGGTCGAAGACTTACTCAGGCAGTACGAAACTTGTCGTGAACCAAACGCTGTACCAAACTACATGTATTCATTCGCTTCTGTGGCTGATGAGGAAGCAACAGACGGACCGCAGCGCCATGATTTCGTTGCGGTACCGGCATCTTCTGAAACGTGGATACTTGAACGATGTCATTATTTCTTTTTCAAAGTTGAAAGCAAGTAACTAACCCTACTCCTAAGAAGGTTCCTTACTTCTTTTTTCCGCAAGCGAACTTCCTGAAGCAGTGTGAGCTGCTCGTTTTCGCCGAGAGGCCTGTGAGTTCTGCTTCTCAATGTGCAAAAGGAAGTTTATCCGTAATTTGCTGAAGCCATTCCGTGACTGAGAGATTTACAGAGTGAGGAATAGCCTTGATTCGCTGGCTTTGTCGCTGGCAGCAGAAGAACCGCGTTTTGGAGATTGCTGCAAAGCTGAGACTGGTCTTGGTGCTTTTGCTTCTAGAAGTCTATGCATAGGTGCTGGATTCGGATGTGGTCTGCGTAAGTGGAGAAGGAATTGCTAGTAGCTAGACAAGACGTGTTGGTAAAGGCTTCGATGTATTAGTAAAATGTTAGACTCGCTAAGAGATTGGTAAGAGGAGGGAAGCTCGTGGATAGAATAGAATCTGATGCCAAAATAAATGTAAAGATGTAGTGAACAGCCAGTTCGTGGTAGAAGTAGCTCAGAAGAGATTTTCAAAAATGAGAGTCAAAAAGTCTAGGAAAAGGAGATGCAGGAAGTTTCATTTGGGGCCTACATGCCAAAGTCGTCAAAGGGCCCCATCATGATACCATCTGGTAGCTCTTGAACTTCTTCGTCTGTCAATGGAAGGGGCTCCAGTTCAGTGGAATCCCCATCCACGAGGTGAATAACACCGTCTTCGTTGAGAGTATCCCAGTTACTGTCACTACTGCCCGTGACAGTACTGGGAGATACAGTCCCCGCTGCAACTGCAGCGGCATCGAGAGCCAAGTTCACCGATGTAGCACTGACGGTTCTTGGAGGAGTGGAGATAGTCTTGTCCGGAGCGGGGATGGTGACGACGAGTTCCTTAATGGACGTGGGGCTCTTGGTGGTGCAGGGCGAGTCGTCTGAAGCAGAAGCAGTGGTGCTTTCGCTGTCACTGCCATCGTCGGAAACCGAGGAAGGAGTGTTCTTGTCGGCATCGTCCTCTCCTTGTGTCTGCTTCTTGTGGATGGCTTGTCGAGCCAATCGCTTCTGCTTGCGGTTCTTGCGCTTGATATCCTTGCTGGACTTGTACTTGTGGTTGAGACCGTCTCGGAGCGCCTGCGACGTCTTTTCCCGTCCCGCACCTTCTTCGGCTTGGTAGTAGCACCCGGTCTGAGGGTCGAGCCGAATGAAGCCTCCCCTGGCTTCCATTTCATCGACAACAGCCTGAACAATGTCCGACTTTTCTTGCTTGTTAGTAGCCTCCGCATAGGCGTCCATGTGAAGCGCCACCAACTTGAGAAAGTGCTTGTTTCCAATGTGACCATACGACTTCTTGCCGCGGCCACAGATAACGTGGTTAATGGTAGGAACAAAGTTGGAAGGGAAGGGTATACGAGGTTCTCCATCCTTGGTGCAGATGCTCTGAGCCACTGGCAGTTGGTGTTGTCCCATGGAACCGTGGCTCACAATGCTGGCGCCACTGCTCATCACATGATGATGATGATTCACATTAGTAGAAGAAGAGGAGCAAGCAGAAGGAGAGTTCATCCAAGGCATCATCTGGTAAGAAAGTTGTTCATTCCCATACATGTTGCTGATGTTCATGGATGGCATGTGAGGTGGTTGCTGCTGCTGCTGCTGCTGTTGGTGGTGTTGGTGTTGGTGCTGATGGTAGTAGTGATCTTGTTGACCCATCATCTCCATGCCCATCTCCATACCCATTCCCATGTTCATACTTCTACCTCCATTCATGCCCATGGTGGGAAAGCTCATGCCATTGTGAAATCTGTTCATCTTGGTTGTTGCTGAAGAAGAAAAATTGGTTGGATAGAAGATCAGCAGATAGTAGATAGAGATGGCTGGCTGTGAGTAGTTGCTTGCTTTTCAGGTTGTGAGGCAATTGAAATTATGAGCTGATGGGGCTGCAATGATCAATTCCAAAGAAGCGTTAGCGGGACAAGTTGCGTGATAGGTTGAGCGAAGATTTCCTACCTATCACATTACCTTCACACCCTTCACATTTTCGTCCAAGGCGGAGTGGTACGCTAGCATCTAGTAGATTCTAGGCTTATCTTGTCCCACAAATTCGTATCATCCAATAGGAAGCTACGATAATGCACGCCAACGCTCTACTACTACCCAAGCCTATCCCGGAAGTCAATCGGTTGAGGCAAACTGCTGGAAATTAGTACCGGAGCTGTACCGGTGACTCAACGGAGGTTCGAGTTCCCTTACCTCGCACATCTCACCAAGACATCTGCCCCAGATTCCAGGCGTTTCCGCCATAGTAGCATCAGCCGTGTACCATAGCACGCACTTCTCCTCATCATCAACAAATTCTCAACAAGAAAAAAAAGGCCGGCTGATCATTCTTGGCAGCAGGTAAAGCTCCCAATCAAAAATGGGAATCTAAACAGATTCATCTTCCGTTTTACTCAACGGCAGTAAAAAGAATAATCAATCGATGTTGAGGAGTCGCTGGAGGGAGCCCCTCTCGCTAAATCAGCGCACATGCAGGAAGCCTGAGGAACCCTTTCTCGTGACAGTATCATCTAGTATCTTAACACTCTTGCCGTGGAGACATTCTAGGGCTTTCCAAAATAATGACAAAAGTCTTCTCGGCCTTTTTTCGAATTATTGATCTAAGAAAGAGTATGGTGTTGGTCATATCTGCGGCTTATTGTGGTTTTCCTTTCCACAGCAAAAGAGTTTTATCTGTGACTACATGCCTTAATGAATTGATATCTCTGAGATGACTTTGTAGATTTTGTGAGTCTTTGTGACAGTTGAAGGAGTGTTCCAAAGCTGTTCCAGCTAAATATCGGAACTTTGCTTTGGCCTTGGCACGATAGACAACATTGCACTCTGCTCAGCAACGTGCTTTGTCATGGTACTAGCTAGCTAGTATTCCAGTAGCTATTCCAGTACTGATTACTGATGCATGTAGCTCTTATTGCTGCGGTCTTGGTCTGCTTGAAATGAGAAGATCGATTGATTATGAGTTATAGCGTTGAATCAAACCTTACCCTTCCTATTACCTACTCTGAGGATTGCTTGGACCTACTAGGCCCACCACCGGAAACAACTCCCTTGTCTTGGCTGGCTGTTCAACGAGACGGCTCTTTCTAGGTGGCTCTTGGCGTCCCTTTTGGGTTGCTTCCAAAGATCAAAAAAGCAGCAGGCACATGTGTATTTTCATGAATGACCTAGCTAGCTAGATACAGATGAATAGTGATAGATGCTTCTTGTTGGGTTGGGTTTGCTTTGACACATCATGTTGAAGCTGTGTGATTGCTGGTGTTTGGCTGGTGTCAAGTAAGCATAATATGCATCTTGCGATCTTGAGGCTTCCGTACATTCTTTATTCTTTCTTCGGCGGGTGGTCCGACTCCCCTCTGTGAATTTGTAGCCACGTGCAGTCATTCCTGACCCCTCCAAGCCTGTCACACAAAGGGCCCTACATGCCAGAAATCGGCAGATTGGATCCTCCTATAATCCATAATCATCCTCTTCGTTTCTTTTTCTCGACAAGGCTCAAACCGATGTTCCAGTAAGATACACGAAGATTCGATTCGATTCATGGCGCACAAGCAAAGTACTGTTGGGTATGTTGACGTGTTGACTGATCATGATGACATGAAACTGGAAACTAGACTACCGGCACCATGGAGCCAGCCAGCCAGCCAGCCAGCCAACAAAATACAAGAATGCTCTACTAGTCTTGCTGGCAAGGAGGGATGTTGTCGGTAGCGGGGGGCAAAAAGGTTACACTCGTACTCTTGCAGTCGCAACTGGAACTAGGATAGCAAAGTGTGCAAAATTGTGGAACTAGAGTCGAGTCGAACTACTGTAGAATAGCAGAAATGTGCAAAATTGCAAAAGTGTGCAAAAATGTGTAAAAATGTGTCAATATAAAAAGAAAAATCTTGCATCCGCAGGGATTTGAACCCTGGAGTACGAATACATTCGAACTTGAGTCGAACCCCTTAGACCGCTCGGGCACGAATGCTATGATGACTTTGCTGCTTTACAACTAACTTTTTAGCATTACAATCCTTGTCTACGATGTTTTCTCCAAATTCTCCTTCTCATGATGTGGTGTTGATGTGAACTAGCCAGGCTCTAGTAGAGGTGCCCTCCACACTTAATTTTGGTTCTTTCGTTGGCTCCGTGTTGGCTGGCTGGATAAACGTGGTATAATTGCTTTGGATGGCCAGAGTCGAGTGACGAATCCAATCGAACATTTTGGATCCCTGCAACGAGTCCGGCCTTGACTCTCCCAAAGGAGATTTGGTTTGGGTGGCTGCATGTACATGTATGTATGGTTTGATTGTGTGGAGTATCTATGTTGTATCTATCCACCCATGAGTACGTGTACCGTAGCCTCCATGACATCATGATGATCAGCTGATCAGCTGATCAGCTTCATGCAAGTGGCTGGTTCGAAGAATGACTTCATCATTCGTACCGTTAGAATAGAATTGTAAAATGAATTGTTGGAGCACCACGGAGAAGAGCCAGAACGTCTTCTGCTGAATCCTCTGCTTGGATTGGAAGAGCTACTTTGGATTGTTTGAGTTTGTACAGGTACCGTACGTGTTTTCGACCCTTGAATAATGTAGGGATGTTGGGCACCAGAGCAGTGAAAGGTCTTTTCCTGAGGCAGAGCAGGTTTGATTTGTCCGCTGCACACCATGGACGACATTGATGAGCATTGGAGATTGGAGAGATGCACCGGTAGATTGGAGATGTACAGTACAACATGTCCCGTACAGTAGATTGAGCTTGGAGGATGCACGTCCACCACATACTATTAATAGTATAGTTTTAAGGCTACGGGTTACTGTTTTGGTATGACTATTGCTTTTACGACTACATAAATCCAGGGGACGAAAATGACCTTGAGGAAAACCTTTGCCCATAAGCGCAACTTCATTTGTTACCCACGGATTTATTGAAAGTGTGCTCCTCTATCGTGCTCATCTTCCCCGTTGTTTTTGAAGACAACCAAGCAACACAAAAACAAAAAGAGACGAAAGATGAAGATGACGATGGGAAGGGGCCGTCCTCTTGTCGGTGCTTCTACATGTACATGTACTATAAATAGAGCCAGTGGTATAAGTAGATATCCATTGTCAGCTGCCAACTCAAGAAGAACCGTTCCTGGTATTAATAGTGTAAGAAAGAAGAGGAGAATGCGACAAACGGGTATCTCAGTTTGTCTGTGGGTGTTGCTGGTATTGGGACTTCCCACCTTGGGTAGTGGAATGAACTTTTGGGAATATTTGAGTGGATTTCCCAAGGCTTGGTGGGACAAGGAGACTCGCTATTTGCCTCGCTATTGGAGGAACACGTCCAGTAGCAACAGTACTGGATTGAACGCTAGCGGGTCGTTGGATGCGTGTTCCACTATAGTCCATCCAGTACTCAGAAAACTTTGTCAAGACCAACAAGCCAGTACTGCTTCTACTGCTACTACCGGTTCTACCAGTAACACTACCAATGCTACAGCCAACAATGATAGTGGTACCATGGCATTGATACCTATCAAGTGCCTTCAAGATCCTTCACTACAAGAATGCCAACAGTACTTCCCCAATGGTCTGCCCTCTGATACCACTGCTGAGGATGCAGGTGCAGGTACTGATAGTGGCACTGGCACTGGCAGTACTAGCTTTACGTCCAGCATGCCCAGTGCTGCTCCATCTCTCCCCAGTTGGAGAATTGGCAGAGGCTGTTTTGGAGACATGTTTGACTCTAGATTCTGTGAAAGAATCAAGTACCATATGGACAGAGTTACTCAGCATCCAGCACAAGCTACCAGCAGCTATAGGTACTTTGTGGGAGAAGTCAACAATAATCCTCACCATTACAACAACAATCCTAACAACAACAATGGCAACTATGGAAATGGAAATGGAAATGGAAATGGGGGAAATGGAAATCAAGGTGGATACATGGGGGGATTCATGGTGGGAAATGGAAACTTCCTTGGCAGACCCACTTGGGCACCCTCCACGCTACAACCCACTATATCTGCACAGCCATCGGTCTCCAAGGCTCCCAGTGGTCAGCCTTCCGTCAGTCATGCTCCCAGTGTCAGTTCACAACCCAGTGATTCCCCGTCGGTCAGTCCACAGCCCAGTCAATCACCCTCGCAAGGACCAACGCAAGCACCCACCGTCAGTGCGGCACCATCCACGAGCAAAGAGCCAAGTGCCCTACCGACGGTCAGTCCCTATCCAACCACTTTGGAACAAAAACTGTACGAGATGCACTATGGAGAAGGATCGGGAAACATTTATCGAAACACGGAGGCTCCCACCTTTGCGCCAACCACTACCGTTGCACCGTCCAATCCACCTTCGGTCAGTAACGCGCCATCGGTCAGTTCACAACCGAGTTTTCAGCCATCCGTTAGTCATCAACCTAGCATTAGCTCTGCGCCCTCCACCGTACCCACACAAGCCAGTGAACATCCCTCGTTCTCACCATTCTACTACGAAAACTCGGTCAAGCTCACGCGGAATCGACCCACCCGACGTCCTACGCAACAACCGACCCTTACACAAACCAGTTCGGGGGAAGCGTCGGGAAGTATCACTCGAGCACCCACACCGGCAACCGAGAATCCCACATCCGCCAGTACCACGGATATTCCAGTCACGCTACAGCCAACCAATGCGCAAACAACGGACTCACCCACAAATATCGAGGTGACGACAGCTAGTCCGACGGAACAAACCACGTCCGGTAGTGCATCTGGAATTGTGACAAAATCGCCCACCACGACAACCACCAACAGTCCCACCATGACGACAACCACACAAAGTCCCACCACGACGCAGACATTGTCCGGAACGGCATCGGGAAGTGTTTCAAAGGCACTGCCCAAGACGACAAAGAACACACCAATTCCAACCACAACGGATAATAATAGTCCCACTACTGCTACCGGTGGTATTACCAGTCAACAACCATCCACGTTGGCTCCGTCGACACTGGAACCCACCAACAAGGTTTCCGGCATCGGCCAAGTCAGCAAACAGCCGTCGACGACGTTGGCTCCGTCAACGATGGAACCCACGAAAAAGGTCACCGGCACCGGCCAAGTCAGCAAACAAACGGCGGAACTCGCTGATAATAAACCTCCCACCACAGCGCCGCCTTCTACAAACGCACCAACTAAAGCGCCAAGCAGTTCGCCGTCGAATACGCCTTCGAAAGCTTCGGCGGTTCCTTCGGCTAGCCCTTCCGATGCGCCTTCGAGTCAGCCATCCAATGCACCGTCGCAAGCGTCGGCATTTCCATCGTCGACCCCTTCAATGGCACCTTCCGCGCAGCCGAGCAATCGTCCAAGCATAGGACCGAGTGCTAGCCCAAGTGCATCACCAAGTAATAGCCCAAGTTCATCGCCAAGTGCCAGCCCAAGTTCAATGCCGACCTCTGAACCAAGCAGTACTCCTTCGACTACCCCGAGCCTGCCTCCCAGTGGATCTCCTTCGGCAACCCCGAGTCAGCAGCCCAGTGGCTCTCCTTCCGCGCATCCCAGTTTCCAGCCTAGCGATACTCCTTCCACACAGCCAAGTGGCTCGCCTTCACAATTGCCAACAACTGGGCCCACACAAAAACCATCGTCGAGTCCCTCACAGAGTCCGTCGAACAAACCATCGGCAACGCCATCCTCGGCTCCCTCGAGCGAACCGTCAGTAGAACCGAGCGGATCGCCATCGTCCAAACCCTCTCAGGAACCATCTACGTCCCCATCATTCACGCCTTCGGAGCAACCTTCCGGCAAACCATCGGACAAACCATCTTCGGAACCAAGCAATAATCCAACGGGCGGACCAACGACGTCACCTTCGCATAGTCCTTCCTCAAAACCGTCCGAAGCTCCTAGTTCCTCGCCCAGCGATGAACCGAGCGCAGCACCATCCGCTAAGCCGAGCACTACACCCTCCAATCGGCCAACGACCGATCCATCGCGTGCGCCTTCCTCGTCTCCTTCCTTTAGTCCATCTAGCCATCCATCCAGGCAACCTAGTTCGACGCCATCCATGCAACCTAGCTCTACACGTCAAAAGAGCCTACATCTCTCCCCACGCCAACCATGCCCGTGGATTCCCCAAGTGCTATGCCAACCAAAAAAGCCTCGGAAAAGCCCACTCAACCCCCCACGAAGATCCCCACTGGTTCGCCGACCAGAGCACCCTCGACGCCAGTGCCTACACCGCGCCCTAGTGTGCCACCAAGCACCAGCAATCCAAGTGCTACTTTGTCGGACGGCACGTCGGGCGAGGAAGAGACAAACATTGTTGATACTCCACAGCCCGCTGCAATTCCCAACCCCGAGCCAATGGCCAGTCCTACAACTAGAGCCCCGACCAAAGGACCAAGCGAACGCCCCACAAAGAATCCAACAAAATCACCCACGACAATGGCGCCCAGCGCTTCACCTAGCAACACAGTTTCGGCGAAACCATCCAATGTTCCCAGTACAAGTCCCAGCCAGTCACCCACGTCGGAACCAAGTATGTCCCCAACTTCAACACCATCTGGTTCGCCGTCCGACAGCCCAAGCATTGCTCCCAGTGGTATGTTAAGTAGTGGAACGTCAAGTAACAGCCCCACAAGAAACCCAGAAAGCCAAAGCAATGAGCCCCCCAAGCCCACAACTTTTCCTACAACTGCAAAGCCATCCCATCTTCCAACAGCAGAACCAAATGAGGCTTTGACCACAAGTCCCAACACCAGCCCCACAACGCAAACAACCAGCGCACCTGTCAGCTCAAGTCCGAGTTCTTCTCCCAATGACATTCCAACAAAGTCATCCAGTGCAGTTCCCAGCACAACCTCTAGTGCTACACCAAGCTCCAATCCAATAGGGACATCCAGCACTAGCCCAAGTTCCAGTCCAAGTGCAGAGCCCAACCAGAGCCCAACTGGTGTTCCAATTGCTGGTCCTAGTATTGCACCTAGTGCAAGTCCCAGTTTGACTCCTACTGGATCCCACAGTGACAGTCCAAGCTCCAGCCCAAGTGCTGCGCCTAGCAAGAGTCCCACTGGTTCTCCAAGTGATAGTCCCAGCAGCAGTCCCAGTATGCAACCCAGCACAAGACCAACAAGCAATCCAAGCCTGACACCCAATGAAAGCCCAATTTCTAGCCCAAGTGGTTCACCTAATTCCATTCAAAGTTTTGGCACTAGTAGATCTCCCAGTTTGTCGCCCTCAGGTAGTCCTACATCAGATCCAAGCACCAGTCGAAGCAATGAACCAAGTACAACACCAAGTAACACACCTACCACAGCCTCAAACAAAACACCCAGTGCAAGTCCCAGTCGAACTCCCAGCATCTCACCAAGCCAGGCACCCACCATAGGTCCAAGTGTAGCACCCAGTGAAACCCCCAGCTATTCACCCAGCTCCACTCCAACAGGTCAGCCCAGTGCTTCCCCAAGCTCTGCCCCTAGTGCATCACCAAGCTCCACTCCAACTGGACCACCGAGTGGGAAACCATCTGAATCACCGAGTTCTGTCCCTTCTGGGTCACCAACACGCACCACAAGTGCTCACCCCAGCGTGACGCCTAGTTCTTCTCCCAGTGGAAGTCCTACAGGCCAGCCTAGTGAATCTCCCAGTGTGTCCCCAAGTGTTGCTCCCAGTGCTTCTCCAACAGTGAACCCCAGTGTTTCTCCAAGCACTAGTCCTAGTGAAACACCAAGCTCAAGCCCAACTGGACGACCAAGTGCCGACCCTTCCGGATCACCCAGTGCTGCCCCCTCTGTTGCACCAACTGCCTTGCCAAGTGCTGCCCCAAGTTCGAGCCCTAGTTCTGCTCCCAGCGGGAGTCCCACGGGAACCCCAAGTGCCACTCCTAGTTCTGGTCCTAGTGAGCCACCGAGCATGATGCCATCCGAGTTGCCAAGCAATGCACCCTCTGGTTCCCCAACAGGCAGGCCAAGTGCTCCCCCCAGTGAATCCCCGAGCAGCAGCCCCAGCAGAATCCCAACAGGAGCACCAAGCACCTCACCGAGCTCCACTCCCAGTGACAACCCCACTGGCATACCAACAGGGGCACCGAGCACGCGCCCAAGCTCAAGTCCAAGTTCTTCTCCAAGTGGCAGTCCTACAGGAACACCCAGTGCGGGCCCCAGTGCCAGCCCTAGTTTTTTCCCAAGCACCAGTCCAACCGGTACACCCAGCACTAGCCCAAGTGCCAGTCCAAGCGCAGAGCCCAGCCACAGCCCAACTGGCGTTCCAAGTGCTGGTCCGAGTGCAAGTCCCAGTTCAATTCCTACTGGATCCCCCAGTGGCAGTCCAAGCTCCAGACCCAGTGCTGCACCTAGCAAGAATCCCACTGGTTCTCCCAGTGTTAGTCCCAGTATGCAACCCAGCATAAGCCCAACGGGCAATCCAAGCCAGGCACCCAGCGAAAGCCCAAGCTCTAGCCCAAGTGGTTCACCTACGTCCAATCCAAGTTTTGGCCCAAGTGGCTCTCCCAGTTTGTCACCCTCAGGCAGTCCTACATCAGATCCAATCACCAGTCCAAGCAATGAACCCAGTACAACACCAAGTACCAAACCCACCACAGCCTCAAGTGAAAGCCCCAGCTCACCGCCTAGTCAAATCCCAACCTCAGGACCCAGCTCCTCTCCCAGTACTCCTCCCAGTTTATCACCGAGCACTGGACCTACTCCGTCACCAAGTGTTGCACCAAGTCTGGGTCCCACTGCAAGCCCAAGCATCAGCCCAAGCAGCAACCCGAGTATTATGCCCAGCATTGGGCCTACCAACGCACCGAGTGCAAGTCCCAGTCGAACTCCCAGCATCTCACCAAGCCGGGCACCCACCATAGGTCCAAGTGTAGCACCCAGTGAAACCCCCAGCTATTCACCCAGCTCCACCCCAACAGGTCAGCCCAGTACTCCCCCAAGTTTGTCCCCAAGTCAAGGTCCAAGCTCCTCCCCAACAGAGGATCCCAGTGCTTCCCCAAGCGCTGCCCCTAGTGCATCTCCAAGCTCCACTCCAACTGGACCACCGAGTGGGAAACCATCTGAATCACCGAGTTCTGTCCCTTCTGGGACACCAACACGCACCACAAGTGCTCACCCCAGCGTGACGCCTAGTTCTTCTCCAAGTGGAAGTCCCACAGGCCAGCCTAGTGAATCTCCCAGTGTGTCCCCCAAGTGGTTGCTCCAGTGCTTTCCAACAAGTGTAAACTCCCAGTGTTTCTCCAAGCACTAGTCCTAGTGAAACACCAAGCTCAAGCCCAACTGGACAACCAAGTGCCGACCCTTCCGGATCACCCAGTGCTGCCCCCTCTGTTGCACCAACTGCCTTGCCAAGTGCTGCCCCAAGTTCGAGCCCTAGTTCTGCTCCGCAGCGGGATCCCACTGGAACCCCAAGTGCCTCTGCTAGTTCTGGTCCTAGTGAGCCACCGAGCGTGATGCCATCCGAGTTGCCAAGCAATGCACCCTCTGGTTCCCCAACAGGCAGGCCAAGTGCTCCCCCCAGTGAATCCCCGAGCAGCAGCCCCAGCAGAATCCCAACAGGAGCACCAACACCTCACCGAAGCTCCTACTTCCCCAGTGACAACCACCACTGGCATAACCAACAGGGGCACGAGCACAGCGCACCAAGCAGATTCCCAAGTTCTTCTCCAAGTGGCAGTCCTACAGGAACACCCAGTGCGGGCCCCAGTGCCAGCCCTAGTTTTTTCCCAAGCACCAGTCCAACCGGTACACCCAGCACTAGCCCCAGTGCCAGTCCAAGTTGCAGAAGCCCAGCCACAGCCCAACTGGCGTTCCAAGTGCTGGTCCGAGTGCAAGTCCCAGTTCAATTCCTACTGGATCCCCCAGTGGCAGTCCAAGCTCCAGACCCAGTGCTGCACCTAGCAAGAATCCCACTGGTTCTCCCAGTGTTAGTCCCAGTATGCAACCCAGCATAAGCCCAACGGGCAATCCAATTCAGGCACCCAGTGAAAGCCCAAGCTCTAGCCCAAGTGGTTCACCTACGTCCAATCCAAGTTTTGGCCCAAGTGGCTCTCCCAGTTTGTCACCCTCAGGCAGTCCTACATCAGATCCAATCACCAGTCCAAGCAATGAACCCAGTACAACACCAAGTACCAAACCCACCACAGCCTCAAGTGAAAGCCCCAGCTCACCGCCTAGTCAAATCCCAACCTCAGGACCCAGCTCCTCTCCCAGAGTACTCCTCCCAGTTTTATCACCGAGCAGCTGGAACCTCCTACTCCGTCACCAAGTGTTGCACCAAGTCTGGGTCCCAATGCAAGCCCAAGCATCAGCCCAAGCAGCAACCCGAGTATTATGCCCAGCATTGGGCCAACCAACGCACCGAGTGCAAGTCCCAGTCGAACTCCCAGCATCTCACCAAGCCGGGCACCCACGATAGGTCCAAGTGTAGCACCCAGTGAAACCCACAGCTATTCACCCAGCTCCACCCCAACAGGTCAGCCCAGTACGCCCCCCAGTTTGTCCCCAAGTCAAGGTCCAAGCTCCTCCCCAACAGAGGATCCCAGTGCTTCCCCAAGCGCTGCATCTCTCCCCTTTTCCCAACAACAAAAAAAAAACCAAACGAAAAAAAGGGAAAGGAGGAAAAGAAGAGAGATGCAAGCGCTTGGGGAAGCACTGGGATCCTTTCTGTTGGGGAGGAGCTTGGACCTTGACTTGGGGACAAACTTGGGGGGTACTGGGCTGACTGTTGGGGTGGAGCTGGGTGAATAGCTGTGGGTTTCACTGGGTGCTACACTTGGACCTATGTGGGTGCCCGGCTTGGTGAGATGCTGGGAGTTCGACTGGGACTTGCACTCGGTGCGTTGGTGGCCCAATGCTGGGCATAATACTCGGGTTGCTGTTGGGCTGATGCTTGGGCTTGCGTGGGAACCCAGACTTGGTGAACACTTGTACGGAGTAGGTCCGGCTCGGTGATAAACTGGGAGGGTACTGGAAGGAGCTGGGTCCTGAGGTGGGATTTGACAGGCGGTGACTGGGCTTTCACTTGGGCTGTGGTGGGTTTGGTACTTGGTGTTGTACTGGGTTCATTGCTTGGACTGGTGATTGGATCTGATGTAGGACTGCCTGAGGGTGACAAACTGGGAGAGCCACTTGGGCCAAAACTTGGATTGGACGTAGGTGAACCACTTGGGCTAGAGCTTGGGCTTTCACTGGGTGCCTGGCTTGGATTGCCCGTTGGGCTTATGCTGGGTTGCATACTGGGACTAACACTGGGAGAACCAGTGGGATTCTTGCTAGGTGCAGCACTGGGTCTGGAGCTTGGACTGCCACTGGGGGATCCAGTAGGAATTGAACTGGGACTTGCACTCGGACCAGCACTTGGAACGCCAGTTGGGCTGTGGCTGGGCTCTGCACTTGGACTGGCACTTGGGCTAGTGCTGGGTGTACCGGTTGGACTGGTGCTTGGGAAAAAACTAGGGCTGGCACTGGGGCCCGCACTGGGTGTTCCTGTAGGACTGCCACTTGGAGAAGAACTTGGACTTGAGCTTGGGCTCGTGCTCGGTGCCCCTGTTGGTATGCCAGTGGGGTTGTCACTGGGAGTGGAGCTCGGTGAGGTGCTTGGTGCTCCTGTTGGGATTCTGCTGGGGCTGCTGCTCGGGGATTCACTGGGGGGAGCACTTGGCCTGCCTGTTGGGGAACCAGGGTGCATTGCTTGGCAACTCGGATGGCATCATGCTCGGTGGCTCACTAGGACCAGAACTAGGAGTGGCACTTGGGGTTCCCGTGGGACTCCCGCTGGGAGCAGAACTAGGGCTCGAACTTGGGGCAGCACTTGGCAAGGCAGTTGGTGCAACAGAGGGGGCAGCACTGGGTGATCCGGAAGGGTCGGCACTTGGTCGTCCAGTTGGGCTTGAGCTTGGTGTTTCACTAGGACTAGTGCTTGGAGAAACACTGGGGTTCACTGTTGGAGAAGCACTGGGAGCAACACTTGGGACACACTGGAGATTCACTAGGCTGGCCTGTGGACTTCCACTGGAGAAGAACTAGGCGTCGCGCTGGGGTGAGCACTTGTGGTGCGTGTTGGTGTCCCAGAAGGGACAGAACTCGGTGATTCAGATGGTTTCCCACTCGGTAGTCCAGTTGGAGTGGAGCTTGGTGATGCACTAGGGGCAGCGCTTGGGGAAGCACTGGGATCCTCTGTTGGGGAGGAGCTTGGACCTTGACTTGGGGACAAACTGGGGGGCGTACTGGGCTGACCTGTTGGGGTGGAGCTGGGTGAATAGCTGGGGGTTTCACTGGGTGCTACACTTGGACCTATGGTGGGTGCCCGGCTTGGTGAGATGCTGGGAGTTCGACTGGGACTTGCACTCGGTGCGTTGGTAGGCCCAATGCTGGGCATAATACTCGGGTTGCTGTCTGTGCTTGGCTGATGCTTGGGCTTGCAGTGGGACCCAGACTTGGTGCAACACTTGGTGACGGAGTAGGTCCAGTGCTCGGTGATAAACTGGGAGGAGTACTGGGAGAGGAGCTGGGTCCTGAGGTTGGGATTTGACTAGGCGGTGAGCTGGGGCTTTCACTTGAGGCTATGGTGGGTTTGGTACTTGGTGTTGTACTGGGTTCATTGCTTGGACTGGTGATTGGATCTGATGTAGGACTGCCTGAGGGTGACAAACTGGGAGAGCCACTTGGGCCAAAACTTGGATTGGACGTAGGTGAACCACTTGGGCTAGAGCTTGGGCTTTCACTTGGGTGCTGGCTTGGATTGCCCGTTGGGCTTATGCTGGGTTGCATACTGGGACTAACACTGGGAGAACCAGTGGGATTCTTGCTAGGTGCAGCACTGGGTCTGGAGCTTGGACTGCCACTGGGGGATCCAGTAGGAATTGAACTGGGACTTGCACTCGGACCAGCACTTGGAACGCCAGTTGGGCTGTGGCTGGGCTCTACGCTTGGACTGGCACTTGGGCTAGTGCTGGTGTACCGGTTGGACTGGTGCTTGGGAAAAAACTAGGGCTGGCACTGGGGCCCACACTGGGTGTTCCTGTAGGACTGCCACTTGGAGAAGAACTTGGACTTGAGCTTGGGCTCGTGCTCGGTGCCCCTGTTGGTATGCCAGTGGGGTTGTCACTGGGAGTGGAGCTCGGTGAGGTGCTTGGTGCTCCTGTTGGGATTCTGCTGGGGCTGCTGCTCGGGGATTCACTGGGGGGAGCACTTGGCCTGCCTGTTGGGGAACCAGAGGGTGCATTGCTTGGCAACTCGGATGGCATCATGCTCGGTGGCTCACTAGGACCAGAACTAGGAGTGGCACTTGGGGTTCCCGTGGGACTCCCGCTGGGAGCAGAACTAGGGCTCGAACTTGGGGCAGCACTT